AGTAGGGGTTTGTCACATGTCCATGTGTCAATATGCAGAGTGACGCTGTGGCATCTAGCCCAGCATGACACGGAAAGCCTGTACCACAAGGCTGCGGACCTTCAGCTTACTGCCCAAGGCCGTGATTGTCCTTCCATAGGTATGCAGTGCTCTGCCAGCCCGGGGCAGGCAGGGGGAGATGGAGGTGAGCCACGATCAGGCACCAAGCTGTCAGGTCTCACTCTGTATTTACTGAAGCTGCCCCCCAACACCGCACCCCCATTCTGAGAAGGCAACACTTGTTACCTTCTTTCTCGTTGGCCACTTTTGCCTGGAGGCGACAGGAACTTAACGGATGTGTGGCCTTCATCTGGTTTTCAGTATCTAATCGGATCTCATTAGAAGATATTTGAGGTCTATGCTGATTCTGGGAAAATCTCCACTTTTGTTCTGCGAGGAAGCCAGCAGCTGTTTTCACGGTATCACTTTCCTTGGCAGGTTCCTCCGTAAAGAGAAAGGGATTGTGGTGGCTTTCACTTCAAATGGATTGAAAAATAGGTAAGAGTAGATTTGGGGTAGGATGTGTGGACCAGACACTGCGTTCAGCACTCAGACACTCATGTCTTTTAACCTGGCTTTGATGTTGGCTTATACGTCTTAAATCTTTCCGTGCCTCGGTATCCCCACCTGAAAATGGATGCGTCCTACATACTAACCTACCTCCCCTGACCTACTGCGAGGATTATAGAATAACACTTTTGAAAGAAAAGAATATAGTCTTTCATCTATCGAGTCTAGGCTAATGGCTCCCAAGGAATCAAGCCTGTGCGGGGACCTTCCAGAATGTTCTCCGACCACAACACAGTGTCTTCCATCCAGGCCTCTTGTCACCAGGAGCATGTGTGTACTAACATGCTGCCTGGCCTTGAGGGAAAACTGACATTTCAAATAGGCTTCACACGGCCATACAAAGCAACACCCCAAATGTCCCCATTCCCAGTGAGGCCTGTTTTTATGGTACTTTTTGTGCAAAGTGCTGTAAGCAGCATTATCATCGTTAGTCCCAAAGGCATCTGCGTGCAGAAGCCCCCGTAAAACCTGCAAAGAGGTTAACCTGCCTCTCTGTCTCCTCGGTCACCTTAAATTCTGACATCTGAGGCGTCCCCCAAACCATAGTGTATCCCCACTGTTTCCAAAGATCTTGGCAGGGGAGCGGCTTTGAAAACCAAGGTCTAAGAGTAAGGCGGGAGGCGAGGCTCCTGACCTGCGGCTGGGAGTCTGCATGGCCCTGGGACTGAACTTGCATGACCTGTTGGCCGGGGGTGGGGTGGGGGGGGTTCCCTGGCTTTCTCAGTGAATGACGCTGGCTTCAGTCAGGGTTTGGGAGCTGAGACCTCACAGAGGAGTCCCGTCTGGAGGGCGCGGGCTGCCCAACCTCGTCTTTGGGAAGAACCCGCAAGGGGGGCACCGCTCACCAGGCCAGGCCCTCAGGCAGGCTCTGAGGACACCCCAAACACAGACTTCAGATCTGGAAAAATGGCTGCCGGTGGCTGTGGGGGCAGGAACGTGGGGAGTGTCTGCAGACCTTTTCAGTTCTTCCCCCGCCTGGTGATGGGGCGCCCCCAGCCTGACTTCCTCATCACCAAGGGGAGGTGCAGAGCGAGCAAAGCAGAAGATGTTAAATGCATGATGTAGAATTGCTGCTGTCCCACTAAATTGTTGTATTAAGCATGAGCGATCTGTTTAACGTTGGCAAAGGAATTTAAAGAGTAACGAGCTTTGTGTCCTTGTTTTAACAGTTCACAGGACTTCCATTTCCCTGCCTTCTTCCCCCCATCCCCGCGTTTCTCCCGCCCCTCCCCCATTGCATCTACTTTCTGTCACAATTGTGGGGTATATGGTGGCAGCTCTTGGTCCCATGGGTGTTCACGTTTCACTGGAAACATGGGGGAGGCAGTGGTGGGCGGGGGAGGGGGGGAGGAGGAAAGCAGCTTTTTTCTAATTTTTGTATCGGTATCCACAAGCGTTTGTATTTTTTGAATTGCAAACACTGTGTTTTCTGGTCTTTGGGGGTTGGTTAACTTTGTGTATTGCCTTTTGGAAAACCTGAGTTTTATCACAGTCTTGAGCGGATTTGAAATAAATTCTTTGGACACTGCCAACAAGCAGAAGACAGGGCCCGGTGTGGAATTCCTGCTCAGCAGCAAGGTACGCCAATTGCCACGTGAGCCCTGGGCACTGGCAGGTACTGGGGCAGGGGCCACCGAGGGGAGAACATCCCATCTCTCACCCCCAGGGCCTGCGCCTATGAGACCCCATATGGCTGTGCTGCATATGCCCACGAGAATAGGAGGTGATGCCATGACTGAACGATAAGGTCCATCTTAGACAATGGGGAGTTCGTGAATTCATTCTCGCAAGAGGGGGCGGGGCCAGACATTGAGAGAAGTTGGTTTATGGTTAAGATACATTCGTGAATAAAACATTGGTCAGGAGTTACAAGAAACCGAGATTTGGGGAAGACCTCCTAATAACCTGTGAGCATCAGGGGGACCCACCGGTCCCTTCAACCACAGTCTGAGCCCAGGTGTGTCTGACCTGAAAGCTCTGTCCCTTGTAGCCTTCCCCAAACTGTGATCCTCACAAGCACCCATCTCACATGCCTCCCCCAACAGCCCCTTTGGCCTAGCCTCCCCAGCCATTTGCTGGATCACCAAATGGCTTACCTGGGTAGGGGCGGTTGCAGACCCCAAGAGAAGGCAGCAGGGCATTTAGGAGCAAGGGCCCTACGGATCAACCCTCTTGGAGGCAAAGGAAGGAGGACCGGCCAAGGGAGATGTCGAGTTGAGACGCAGACCAGCAAAGGCCTCTGCCACTCTGGGTTGGGACATTGGCACTGGGTTTAATACTCCCGCATTGATCCGGCACGGACGTGGGCCACCCTGGGAAGGAGGTGAGGCGATCCTGAAGAGGGCCAGCAGCCGAAGGCAGCCTTCAGCACTCAGAATAAGTACTTCTACCCGAAAGAGGATTGGAGGGAGACATTGGGGTATCCACCTCTGCGCTCCAGGTCTACAACGCTCTTCCAGAATTCCCGTGAGAGAAGCTTAGATGAGGAAGGCCAGGGACACTCCTGGTCAGCCTCCTCTCACTCATCCTAGACTCCCCCCACCCTCTCCTAGTGTCTCTTCATCATGATTGGGACCCTCATCCCGGGGGGACTAAGCCTCAAGTCACCAGGTCCTTCTCCCCCAGGATTGCTGCTTTTGTCTACTCACCATGCAAATCAGGTGAAAGGAATGTGAAGAGATGCTTGAGGGGACCGCCTGGGTGACTTTTCCCTGCCCCACCAGGTGACAGCAGCCTTATCTCCTCTTGATGGTCACAGGCCGGTCACCCCACGAGGTGCTGGCTCTTCTTGCCTGGACACCTTTGGTTTAGTGGGACGTGTGCTGTGTTCTTGTTTCTTCCTTTGGGAAGCAGGGTGCCCAGGTCCACGGGGCTCAGAGCTGTAGGGACGGGAATCTCCAGGTCCCTAAGTGGGCCACTGGGAATAGCGGGAGGCAGGGCATCGTGTGGAGCGACGGCTGACCCGCCAGACGTGCGGGGGACTGAAAGACGCCCCTGCGAAGGGGAAACGGCGGTATGACAACACGTGGATGCTGCACTGAAGCCTTCTGTTCCCTTGGTGGCTGTTGTCAGAGTCTTAGTCATAATCGTCTTCCCCTGGAAGACGTCACCAATGCAGAAATTAAAAGCGTGGTCCTAGCCTGCTCTCCAGCCCGTAAAGTACGGGTTTCTCCTGGGCCCTAAACATCCGGGGGTTTCTAGAGCCCCCAGCGGTAACAAAACAACTCTGTAAGTATGTACTCGGTAAATTAAAAGGTGAAAGCAAAACAAGCAAGTAATTTAAACTCAGAACTTGCAAGCTTTTCCCAAATGGACTAGCCTGTAGCTCTGGTCTGAGCTACTAAGCACTCAACTATCTGAGCCACAAGGCTGGAGGTAGGGGGTGGGTGTGGGGGTCCTCAGACCCTGGGCTCTCTGTAGAGAAAGGGAACCAAATTACCCCAGTCGCTGCTAGGATAGGTCACCTCTAGTTCCTCAGAGATTTCCTGGGGCTTTGTTATGTTTGGGATCCTCTACATCTTAAAATAAAAATCACACTCAGGGGGCCTGGTGGCTCAGTCAGTTGAGTATCCGACTTCTGCTCAGGTCATGACCTCACGGTTCACAAGTTCGAGCCCCATGTCAGGCTCTGTGCTGACAGCTCAGAGCCTGGAGCCTGTTTCAGATTCTGTGTCTCCCTCTCTCTCTGCCCCTCCCTCACTTGTGTTCTGTCTGTCTCTCTCTCTCAAAAATAAACATTAAAAAAAAAAGTCACTCTTAAAAACCGCCAAAGTAGGTATTCTGCCGAGCACGGCCTTTCAAAATAAACTTGGAAAACAGAATGTCGATTCCACTCTTGCTTCAACTCAGGGCAGTTGTGGAGCTCCTCACTCGGCAATGGCTCTGGAGTCCGGTTTGGAACCACATAAAAATGTCAGCCACTTTTACCCCTTTGTTTTGACCAAAACCTTATCGTTGGATAAGATTTTTTTGTCATAAAGAAAAAAAAAGCTAAAATTGATTACTATCATTGAAGACTTTTTTTTTTTTAACGTGTCACAAGCTTTGAGAAGTTCCAGATGGTTTCAGTAAGTGCAATATACTTTTAAAAACATGTTCAGATGCCTGTGGCGATTATTCTGAAGGAGAGGGCATTAGCTTACATGCAGGTTTGGTTACAATCTTCTGCTGTGTTATCTGTCATGGTCACGTACACCACAAAAGCTGCGTTCTATCTACATACCTTCTTATGAAGGAGACTTCATGGGGCGCCTGGGTGGCTCAGTTGGTTAAGCGTCCGACTTCGGCTCAGGTCATGATCTCATGGTTTGTGGCTTCGAGCCCCATGTGCTGACAGCCAGCTCAGAGCCTGGAGCCTGTTTCGGATTCTGTATCTCCCTCTCTGTCCCTCCCCTGCTCAGGCTATCTCTCTCTCTCTCGGAAATAAATAAAACATTAAAAAAAAAAAAAGAGACTTCATACACATGGTAGAGGCTAAAAATCAAAACCGCTTTTCCCACAAAAACAACTGACAAATGATCACACATGGTTCTTTCATGTGTAACAGGACACCATTTTTAGAAAATTTAAAAAGGTGATTTAATGCTAACTATTAGCATTTACAAATCAGTAAATCATTAAGCTGATAAAAAGTCATTACATGCAGAAGTACAAAACACCAGTGAAAGCCAACCTCGCATAAATCTCGCTGGAGAACATTAAACATCCTTTTCCACGGACTGGCTTTACACACACAGTGCGGCTGGCCCTTCCCGCTGCGCACTTATCACTATAAAACACACACCTCACGTCTACAAATTTTACTATTTCTATTTGACATTTTTTCCCTCAAATAGAAAAGCAGTCTATAAAATATGAAATAAATAAGAATAATCTGGAAGTCTCATAGAGGTCCCATGGCAGTACGACGTTCTTCTCTCTACATCATGAAGCACTTCACTTGGCCACTCGGGAGGAATTTATTTTCTTGATGTCAACCTGGCTCAGGATCAGTGTCCCATTTTTGAATTTTCCAACCTGCCCAATCCGTCCACTTGACAAAATACTGGGAGCTGATTTCTTCTTTTTGGCTTTCCTGCAGTTACAATCAGAGAAAGGGACTAATGTTAAGCTCATAAGGAAGGGCTATAGCACCATCAACCAGGTGGCTGGGGCCCTGTCCCCTGCAAGCTCCGGGTGTCCCCATGAGTGCCATCCGCCACTGCCCTACCCCAACAACTGTGGGCCTTCACGTGGTCCCTGAAACATGCCGCTGCCTTCCTGCCTCAGGGCCTTTGCACTGGTTTCTTCCGTGTGGAATGTTCTTTACAGGTCTTTCCAGGCTGTCCCCTCCTCTCCACTCTGTTCTCAACTCAGATATGACCCTCCTAGAATGACATCACAGCCCATCCCTGGTGATTTCCTTTCTGATGCTTTATTGCAACCTCTTCACAGAACCTGCCAGGGCCTGGCATCCCCTCGCTTACCTGTTCGTACGTTTCGGTGCGTTTCCCTCACTACAGTGTTAAGCTCCACAAAGGCAGGGAAGCGGCCAGTGTGACGATGCCTATGTTCCTGACACCTAAGATGCCTGTCTGCCTGGCACACGGGGGACCCTCAACAGACATATACGGGCAGAACAAACGGCTGCTTGACGGCACGTGAAGCTCACTGGGAGTCCAATGAAAAGGCCATATATTATCTTACATTCTGAAATCAGGCCCAGGACACCACATGCGGTAGGTCGAGGACATAGCCCCTAGCCCGCGCTGTCTTATCAGCAGGCTCTTGGGAGGGAACAGAAGTCTTTTGTTGGAAACATCAATCTCGACTTCTCCGCTAGTCACGTGAGGTGTCTGGTCTTTGGAAATGAGAGACAGGAGAGAATTCCCGATTCAGTCCTGAGGTAGCTGTTTGCTCCCGGGCAATGTCCTGCCTCCTGTCTTCCCGCACGGGATGCGCTTAGGGTACCAGAGAGACAGCAGAGTGCTCTACCGGGCTAGAAACACCACATGCGCTCAGGGGCTGTTTTCAGAACAGATGAGCATGTTTATTCAGATCGTTCCAGCACAGGGCCTGACGGCGTCACTCACCGGTCTTCCTGACCTTTCCTCTTCTTCTTCTTGAAAATATCTGTGTCCTGGGCCTGATTTCAGAATGTAAGATAATATATGTGTCAGTAACGGATAATAGAGATTCAAAAAAAGACCAGAGGTTTGTGGTCAAAAGCCAGTAAGCTACCATTTAATATTTTTCTCAAGGAGGCCTACGAACATAGACTTAGTTTCATCCTAAAACTCAGAGTGTGAAAGGTCATTCCTTACAAGACTGGCAGTGGAAACATCGACTCTTCCATTTTAGGCGCAAGGGAGGGAGTGTAACATCTCTTCCTCTGTGGGTTTTCATAGGTTTTGGCGTTCTACACAATGTAAAATGCAATCGGGGAAAAAGATGGAAGCGGCTTGCATTATCCGAGTGGCAGTTTGCTATTTCCAAGCGAACCTTCCATGGAAATATGCCAGGTTACCTGGCTGGTGTTAGGGAACGCAGCTGATGTGAACAAGTGGAGAAAATGATCATTTAACTCCGGATCTCAGGGTTGCCTACACTGCTTTCCCCGCAGCAGGTCCGGCACTCCACCGTGGCCACATGCGGCCCCCTTTCTGTTCTAGCTTAGGAACGAAAAGGCTATTACTCCTACCATTCTCTTTTCTTCTTCTTTTGCCGCCTTTTTTTCTTTGATTTGCTCCTGCAAGACCTTGTAATTCACATAACTATTTTTGGGAGGCTGAAATGAAAGGGGAAAAAAAAGGTATCATTTTTTTTATTTTGCAAAGCTCTCCCAGTGACCCGTGCCCTGACTTGCCCTGGGCTCTCCCCTTTTCTGTGCCCTGTCCGATGATGGAAGACCGAAGTGGCCCCCCACCTTAGCGCCCAGCATGATGGCCCGTTCCCGCTCCAGGACTCTTTCCTTTCCTTTTCCGTAACCCGTGATCCCGAAGCGGTGCACTTCCAGGCGAGCCTGTGGACACAAAGCAGAATCAGACCCCCGTGCGTTCCAAAGACTCCAGAGAAGAGACACACCCCAGGGAGTAACACAGGCCAGACACGACGTGCCGGAGCAAGAGGGCCGTGCTGGGTGGTCTGCCCAGCTTCACGGAGGTCTCCGTTCTCCCACGTGCAATTCTGGACAGGTGAAGCAAAGACTTCGCTCCACACAAATCAGTAGCAGGATTCAGATTAAAAGCGGGGATGCTCTCTGAGTTCCCACTTAAAGGTACCTCTCCAAACACACTCACAGAGAGAAACCATTCATCGTAGCAGTTCCGAACGCAGATCTGTGTTTGCTCATTTGTCTAAAGATACTGCAGAGGAGGAGGAAAAAGTCACCAATGCCTGCTCTTTGCAGCTGAATTCCTTCCTCCTGTCTTCTTTCTCATGCACTTAAAAACCTACTTTAGACAACAGAATACACACATCCCTGGCTTTTCTTACTTAACACTGCATTACTGGCATTGTGGTCACAAGCCCTCGGGTTTTAACGGACAGCCTAATATTCACCAAGAGAAGTTGTGTAATTTGCTTAATCACTTTCTCAACCACTGGACATGTAAGCATATTCTTGTGTGTGTGTGTGTGTGTGTGTGTTATGAAGCTGAAAAGATTAACAATTTCAAAACACATACCTTCTCTAAGTTAAATTCTTGTCTCTCCACATCTTTCTCAAGGATATTAGTTTTGGTCTGAAAAGAAAAAAAAACCTCATTAAGATCATCTGTTACTGTATCATTAGAGTATCTGTCATCAACAGAGGAGTCATGTTTTTTTGTTTTTTAGTTTATTTATTTATTTATTTATTTATTTTTTAAATGTTTTATTCATTTCTAGGAGAGAGAGAGAGAGACAGCGTGAGCAGGGGAGGGTCAGAGAGAGAGGGAGACACAGACTCTGAAACAGGCTCCAGGCTCTGAACTGGCAGTCAGCACAGAGCCCGATGCGGGGCTCGAACCCACGAACCGCGAGATCATGACCTAAGCGAAAGTCGGACGCTTAACCGACTAAGCCACCCAGGCGCCCCTAGTTTATTTATTTTGAGAGAGGGTGCACATATGCGCGGGCATGAGCCAGGGAGAGGCAGAGAGAGGAAGGAGAGAATCCCAAGTAGGCTCCGATGCAGGGCTTGAAGCCACAAACTGGGGTTCTGTGCTCTCAGTCATAATAAATGCACCTTCCATGTTACTTTATCAAGATTCCTGACTTTTATGATACTTACGATCGTCTTCAATCATGTATTTCACAGAATCAAATGCCTTAATTAAGGACACCAGGCACCTCCATTCATATATCCCATAGTCTTACTTCCTGTTCCAAGACTAGAAAAAATTCTACATTCACCTTGATGTTAAAAACTTTTTTCCATTGGCTTAAATCTTAGTGATTTCAGGATCATCCAGATCCTCAAATACAAATTATATGTTAAAAAGAAAAACTATAGGGGCACCTGAGTGGCTCAGTCAGTTGAGTGTCGACTCCCATCTCAGGTCAGAATCCCAGGGTCGTGGGATCAAGCCCCACGTCGGGCTCTGCGCTGAGCATGGAGCCTACTTCGGATCTGCCTCCCTCTGTCTCTCCCCCTGCCCTGCTCCTCTACCCCACACATGCTCTAAGATAAAGTTTAAAAAGAAAAAGGAAAAACTGTATGCTGTTCACAGATCTCCAAAATCCAAGGAAACGTCTACCTCCATTTCTAAGTATTTAAGTAGTTCTTTCTTTTTCTTCTTCTGTCCCATCCATCCAAACAAGTAATGGCTAACTAAGCTCTTTTAAATTGAAAATTTCTTTCAGGAACGTCAGATTTCCAGTAATACTGGAGATGTGACAGATGCCCTTGACTGAGCTGTTACTAGAAGATCGGCATGAGGAAGGAAGTGCAGTAACACGTCTTGGCTGCCTGCATGTGCTACAGTCACCGTGGGGCTGGCGGAGACACTGGCCCACAGAGGACAGGGGCACAGATTCTGATGTCCCCACTTCTCCCAACGCCAGCCCCACAGATGACCTGCCTTGTATGTGGGCCTCTGTTCATCTTGGCCATGGGAACCCCTGGGCCCGGGGGTGGTGGAGACCTGAGTGGCAGGCCTGGCCTCACTGAGATGACCTTTCTGTTCCAAAGCCCTGTGTCACCATGTCACTAGAAACAGCTCAGCTTTGTAGCTGTCAATGTGTTTGAGAAACAGTCTGGATTCTAGACACTTATTTATTTTTTTATTTTTATTAAAAACATTTTTTTTAATGCTTATTTATTTTTGAGAGAGAAAGAGCATGAGTGGGGGAGGGGCACAGAGACAGGGGGACAGAAAATCCAAGGTGGGCTCTGCACTGACAGCAGAGAGACTGATATGGGGCTTGAGCCATGAACTGTGAGATCATGACCTGAGCAGGAGTCGGACACTTTACCGATGGAGCCACCCAGGCGCGCCCTGCGCCCCCTCCCCCCGAGATCCTTGTTTATAATAAAAGTAAACATTTGGAAAACAATTCTTAGCTAATTATTTTGTGATGCTGAGTCCATTGCAATGACCCCACCAATACTTAACTTTTATTCGTAGCTTTAAAGCCACTTCAGTACATTATTCATAATGTATTGCCTGATTTAGAAACAATGGGGGGTCAGGGGCACCTGGGTGGCTCAGTTGGTTAAGTGTCAGACTTCTGCTCAGGTCATGATCTCACTATTCATGGTTTCAAGCCCCACATTGGGCTCTGTGCTGATGACTCAGGGCCTAGAGCCTGCTTCGGATTCTGTGTCTCCCTTTCTTTCTGCCCTTCCCCACTCGTGCTCCGTCTCACTCTGTCTCTCAAAAATAAATAAATGTAAACAAAATTTTTTGTTTAAACACTTGGTGGTTTTCCCTGTTTGCTTTCCCCTTGTAGCAGTGGGAGGCATAGCACCTGTAGGCAATACTGGGTCCTCCTCTGCTTCTAGGCTACGCTGCCAACCTGAAGTTAGACGGGGCCATGTGACTTCCTGTGGACAAAGAAGTGTGAGCAGAATGGAAGTGTGTCCCTTCCACATGGAACCACCAGCCATCTACTGACTCCCCTTCTTCACCAAAGCAACTAGGAACCTCCAGACAGTGGAGCCCCTATTATCCTGGGTCCCTAGCTGAGGATGGTGGGGAGCAGTCTGTCCTCGCCAATCCCAATGGAGATATAAAAAGAATTAACATTTACCTTTGAACCACTCAGATGGAGGGATTGTGTTATTAAACCACAGCCTAATCTATCTTGACCAGTAAAGCCTTACTGTCCCACACGCAGGAAAGAGAAATGTCGGCAGATTTTGAGAACTTGCACGTTAGGGTTATGAAGAAAGAACACTGTAAAAAGAAGAAACGGTTTGGGAGAACGGCGTGGGGGCGACACGCAAAGGCCCGCAGGCCCCCAGGCTCAGGGAACTCATCCGTGGGTTGACGTGCTGACCACAAGTACTTTCTCCTGCACTGGTGAGATTCTTTTATCCTATCAGTCACACTGTGCGACCTCTGGCCAGCTAGAGACCAGCTGGGGAACAAACGCTCTGGTTTTAAAATGCAGGCAGCTCTGGGGCACCTGGGTGGTTTAGTCCAGCTCTCAATCTTGGCTCCGGTCTTGATCTCATGGTCGTGAGTTCACGTCCCACACTGGGCTTCACGCTGGGCGTGGAGCCTCCTTAGAAAAATACAAATATATATATTTACAGTATATATCTATATATTGTATAGTATATATGTGTATAACTGTATTTACAAAAATATAGTGGGGCACCTGGGTGGCTCAGTCGGTTAAACGTTTGGCTTCGGCTCAGATCATGATCTCACGGTTCGTGGGTTTGAGCCCCACGTTGGGCTCTGTGCTGACTGCCAGCTCAGAGCCTGGAGCCTGTCTTCGGATTCTGTGTCTCCCTCTCTCTCTGACCCTCCCCTACTTATGCTGTCTCTCTCTCTCAAAAATGAATAAAATGTTAAAAAATTAAAAAAAAAAAATATAATAACACATATAATTAAAATGCAGGCAGTTCTAAGAACATCAGGAAATGTATTCTTATCTTCTCAAGGGCAAATTACTTCGACTACATTACTGTCTTCCTTACACCTAGCTGACACTGGATCTCCCAAAGAACAGGGATGTGGAACAAAGTACAAGGGCGCCCTGGAGTGCGGAGGAGTCCAGCGCTGAGTCCTAGGGGGTGATCTAGATAGTACAGAGATTGTGAGGGCAGTAAGAACCTGGAGCAACAACTTGGGGACAGGTCTTCCTATCTAGTGAAGATGCTGGCAGGCAGCGCACTTATGATATTCAAAGGACAAAAAGCCTATCTGGTGTGGCAGTTAGGTACACAGCTTTCACATGGCCAGAAAGAAGCCTGGGGTCCGACCCTGAGCTCTGGTATTTCCTTCACATCCATAATCCTTTGTGTGGAATCCTTAGAAAATTAAGACGTTTTCACGTTTTATTTTATTTAAAAAAAAAAAAAATTTTTTACTGTTTTTATTTATTTCTGAGAGAGAGAGACAGTGTGAGCAGGGGAGGGTCAGAGAGAGAGGGAGATATAGAATCTGAAGCAGGCTCCAGGCTCTGAGCTAGCTGTCAGCATACAGCTCGAACCCACGAACTGTGAAATCATGACCTGAGCCGATGTCAGATGCTTAACCAACTGAGCCACTCAGACACCCCCATTTTCACGTTTTAGAAAGGTAACACCGTGAATATACTGAATATTGTACATCATTTCCAGTGGGGGCCTGGTACTGCAGTACTGACAGCAGCCCATAATCTGTTAAGCACGTTCACATTTCTGCAGCAGGATCTATGAATATCCATGCCAAATGTGACCAACAGAAATAATTCCAAAGCCTCATCTGAGTTCAGGTCAGGTTTCGTGCCCAAACCAATCTATCTGCATCAGACTTCAAAAGAAAGCAGGTAACAGCGACTTTGAAAGCTCCAGGGTTCTGGGATCGCAGGTGTGGGGCGGCTGACTGTTTAAACGCAGCCAAATATCTTCACCTCTCTAGGCATCAATTTCCTCTGTAACATGAAGGCAGGGCATGTGAATTGTGAGGACTCAGTGAGATGACGAGTCAGTGAGCAGAAATAAGTACTTGTGGTAGGTAGTAAGCACCAGTGAATCGTGGTTATTATGAGTCATTTGCTACATGCTCAGTAACAGTCTACACGCACCTTGGGACCAGGCCGCAGGAGCCGACAGCCCCTTCCGAACTGGAGTCCCCTCTTCTATTATTTCTGTTCTGTCTTTCTTACCCCTCTTCTATGGAGGCCACAAAGGAAGCTAAGGTTCAGGGCAGGGGCCGATGCTACGGGTGGAGACAACACTGGTAAGACACATCCCCGTGAGCCAAACAACACTGGGATCATTTTCAGCCACACCTGACGCTTTCATTTCTCAAGACCCTTCCTCACAGGCAGCCTTGCACCCATTCAAGAGTGGTTCACCCGCTCATTCCTCATATCCCAAGTCAGGCCACCGACCCCAACCCAGGACCACTGCGGTGAACTCCTGACTCAGTCCCTGCAGGCCTCTGGTTGCTTTCCTAGAATCGAGGTACCACGCAGAGGCCTGAGGGATGTTTAAAATGTTGTCAGATCACCTCATGCCCTTAAACTCTCTGGTGGCTTCCCACATACTTTAAACCAAACGCCAAAGGCCTCACCGCTGCCTGCGAGACCTGGTGAGGGCTGGCCTCCGCCCGTGCCTCCGCCGCGCCTCAAGCCATTCCCCTGTGTCCTCCCACACTAGGCTTCCGGCTTCTGTAACACATTAGGCCGTCTCATGCGTCCAGGCGCTGCCAGTGCTGTGTACTCTCCACCTGCGTCAGTCTGCCGCTCCTTCCTCTGACAAGCTTTGGCACTGCCTCGTCAGCCTCTGCTGAGACTTCCTGCCCAGTCTACCGAAAGGGGGCTCTGCCTATATTCCTGTCCTTCAGAAGGTTTACAACTTTTTAGTCATATTACTAATTGACCTGGGGTTTGCCAGACCCCGCCAGTGGGGTCCTTCATGAGGGCAGAGGACTCTCTCTCATTCACTGTTGGATCTCTCGGGTCTGGCAAACAGTAGGCGCCCAAATTATGTGTGGAATAACTAAGTACGTAAGTAATCTTTTACCTATTATTTCCTGTTAAGCTACTTCCATAGTCACTGCTTTATAAAAGGGATATGACTAGGAAGTTCATCTGTAGGTTAGACACCTGGATGGGTAACATATTATATAAATGGTGGCCAAGTTCTCAGCTTAACCCATTAAAAGGGGTGACATCAGCAGGGAGAGTTTCCCCACACGGCCAACAGGCAATCCTCCTGTACCGGCTACGATCCAACTCAATTCTGACCCTGTCTGCATGGAGACAGCACCACATTGCACAGCTGAAGGGCTCAGTCCTACAAGATTGTCCCTTGCTTTCACATGCTGCAAGCCCAGGTTGTTAGCGGTACTTAGGACCAGCCACCCACAGGTTAGAGTCCCCACGACCCCTTACTTGGGTTTGGTGAATCTGCTAGAGTGGCTCACAGAACTGAGGAAACCCGTCTAACTGACTAGATTGCCGGTTTATTACAAAAAGATGCAAGTCAGGAACAGCCAGACGGGGGCGACGTGCAGGGTAAGGCAGGGGGGACAGCACAAGGCCTCCCCTGTCCTCTCTGAGAGCGTCACTCGCCAAGCACCTCCATGTGGTCACCAACCCACAAGCTTTCCAAATCCTTTTAGGTTTAGAGAGGCTTCAGTACATAAGTATGATGGATTAAATCACTGACCATAGGCAATGAATTCAACCTCCAGCCCTTTACCTCTCCCCAGAGATCAGAGACGGGACTGAAGTTTCCAACCCTCTTGTCAAGGGGTGGGTTCACCTGGCAGCCTGTCCCATCTTCACAGCCTTTGCAACTCGCTCATTACAAAAGACACCTTTACTGCTCTTATCATGTACGAAATCCCAAGGAGTTCTGAGCCAGAAACAGGGGACAAAGAAAACATAACTAGATATATACATACACATATACGTATATATGCATACATATGCCAAGTATATGTATATATGTTTCCTTACTATAAATCACCATACCATACCTTGAAAATCTGTTTTAATACACAGTGCAGTGTAATCACATTATTAATGGCATAAGCCTAAATTCTAGGGAAAGACGATCACCTCCTCGGTTTAGGCAGGGCCAGCTGGGTTGTCTAACTGGTTAGGACCTCTCGAATCTTCTCCAAAGATGACCGGCTGACCCCATGCAGGCTATCATTATTTTATTATACTTCTTTGCTGATTCCATGTCTGTTTGAACTGTCCTACAATGACCTGTAAGCTTCGAGAGAGCAGGGGCCACAAATGTCTTTTACCATGTTGTACAAATTCTTAGCATAGCATCACGTATCTTAATTACTCCCAGCTGACCGACTATTCCTTACCTGGTATTCCCTAGACGCAGGATATGCCACTAATACCTAGTGTCATATTCGTCTGTGTTTATTTACATGTTGCAACGCCAAACAGTCTAAGTCTTTTTACAGGCGTATGTGTTTTTATTGTGCTCATATTCTGTCTCCTTAGCTGGACACATTCACGTTTCCAAAGAATCAATTTTAGGGGCACCTGGGTGGCTCAGTTGCTTAAGCATCTGACTTCAGTTCAGGTCATGACCTCGCGGTTCGTGAGTTTGAGCCCCACATTGGCATCTGTGCTGACATCCCAGGGCCTGGACATTGTTCAGATTTTGTGTTTCCCTCTCTCTCTGCCCCTCCCCAGCTCACTCTCTCTCTCTCTCCCTCCCTCTCTCAAAATTAAATAAACATAAAAAAAAATTCAAAGGATCAATCTTAAAAAGGAGAAAAGGGCAGAACGACCAAAGATGACTGAGAAATTTCGTTAGGATCAGGAAGTTCAAAATGTCAAATGAGCTGAGATCCCTGAGAAAAGCCAACTACAATGATAAAGGGATCAGTCAGAGCAGGAAGAAATAGAATCCAACAGCCCGCCGCAGATGATCTATTATTAAGAGACGGAGAAATGCATTCATTCAATGCTAACTTTTCGGTCCTTTCTACTAGAAAACTTTCCATTCTAGAAAGAACACAAGCGGGGCAAGTCTTCTGTTTCAGAAGACTGAGACACCTGAGGAAATGAGGGAGGGTACTCAGATGCTGGTTACTCTCTCCAAAGGCAGAATTACATATAATGCAAGCACTGTTACCCAACCTTTCTCACTGCGTGACACACACAGAAAATACTAATATTTGTATGGTGTACTCAGGTACACCGTGGTGACACCGATCCCTGGTAAGCCTCCCTGGTCGGCCAGCGTGCTGGCTGAAGGACCAAAGGAATCCTTTACCTATCCCACCTCTAACAGTTCCCTGTGCCCCAGCATTTGGAGTATGAGTCGGGAACTGACCGAGAATCCTAAAATAAATCTTTGAGGAAGAGATCCTCGTGAGGATCATGACATGAAGTGCTACCGGAATTCTACGAAAGATGGTTGTGAAACCATAAAAAAGATGTGGTAAGCACCAGACACCGGCACATGCTCACCAAGAACCAGACAAATTGACTATCTTTGTAGTGGGTTGAATTGTCTGCAAAAGACATGTCTGTGGTCTAAATCCCCAGAATCAATGAATGGATCTCATTGAGGGGAAAGGGTCTTTGCAGTTAATTAAGGATCTCATGACGAGACTCACCCTAGATTTCGGGTGGGTCCTAGATCCAATGACAGATGTCCTTTGAAGAGAAAGGCAGAGGGAGATCTGAGACTCAGACATACAGAGAAGGTCATGTGCAGACAGAGGCAGAGTTTAGGGTGATGTGGCCCCAGGCCAATGAACACTTAGGGCCACCAAAAGCTGGAAGAAGGAAGGAAAGATTCCCTTTCAGAGGGGAAGGTGGGTGCCCAGCCATCCAACACCTTGATTTTGGCCTCCTGGTCTCTAGAACCGTGAGAGAATAACTCTCTGCACGACAGCCCTAGGAATGAACACAATCCCCTTTTCCTTTTACGATAGACAGAAGTTGCTACAATGTGACGAATGCGACAGAAACAGAATACCTGAATTTCTGCAATGAATTTGACCAAACCATAACGCTACCCTTGTGGGAAAAGCTGGATAAGTAACCATACCCTCTCTCCTGGACTGAATTTTGAGTGACTTCCAAATTCTGTCTGAGATTACTGCTCAGTGAACTCAAACTGCTTTCAGTCAGAAGGGGAGTTCCTTGAGAGAGAGTGGTTTTCTCTATTTTGTTTACTGCTATAACCCAGTGCCTAAGACAGCAGCCAGAAATAGTTGCCGAATGACTCTGTTTTCTCGGAGCACCATCAGGCAGAAGCCCTAGGCACGTGAAAGAGTCAATTCGGCAGGCTTGCGTTTGTTAAATTCTGCACGTTCCTCAGAAAGTCTTGTTTGTGTAAGACTTTGTCAGCTCCAACTGGAGCTGGCCAGTTGGAATATTATCTGCGAAGAGTGTTTCTGCGTCCCCGAATCCTTGAGCCAAGCCACGCCAGGTCCGCCCAGATGGTTTATATGAACAGTGGGATTTACGGCAAATACCTACTTGTTTTCTGGGCATCTAAGAGCTTCGATAACTAAGGTCAGTCCGTACATCTATGTGACCGACCCGCTAGTAAACACCCTGAACACGCAGGCTGGAGTGAACTTTCCGGGTCGCCAACAGTTCCCACCTGCTGTCACAAGTCATGGCGGTGGGGAAGGAACTAAACAGATCCCACACAACTCCACTGGGTGGGGACATCTGGACACCTGCACCTCATTTCCTTCACACTTGGCCACATGCACCTTTCCCCCTCACTGGTTTTACTCTGCATGCTTTTGCTGTAATCATTTGTAACCATAATGATGACTATATGCGGAGTCCTGAGTCCTGTGAGTGCTTTTAGTCAGTCCTCAAGCCTGACGGTTGTTCTGGGGACCTGTGACACAGTCTGTAAGAGTATTCATCTAGGGGTGCCTGGCTGGCTCTGTCGGAAGAGCATGCGACTCTTAATCACAAGGTCATGAGCTCAAGCTCCATGCTGGGTGTGGGGATTACGAAATAAGTAAGAATTTTAACAAAGAAACAAAAAGATACTTCTCTAAAACTGCAAGGTGTGTGTGTGGCGGGGGGGGGGGGGGAATCAACACGCACATTTAAACTAACCAACTGGTTACCTGTGTGTCCTCATCTAGATCCGACTTCCCTTTCCTTTTTTTATTTCTGCTGTAAAATTCTATCACTTGCACTCGATCCCTGCTGTTCTTCGGAGTTGAGGGAGATGTCGCGGCACTGGGGACATCTGGTCCTGAGGCAGAGCCGGTGGGGGTCACAGCAGGAGCACCCTGCAGCTCTTCCCTGAGTTCCTTGAAGAAGCTAGAGGCCCTCTTCCTTTGGCCTCTCGCGAGACAACCAGGCAGGGGAGCTGGGTCTGCTGTTAAGGCCACTGGAGCCCCTACATCTCTCTTCTTGTTTTCTCCCTTCTTTCTGATCCTTTTCTGTGCTGCCTCATCTTCTGTCTCTCCTGTTTGTTCAAACACAGAGGAGAAAAGGAAATATTTTTGGTTCTAGCGAATGATGTGAAGGCACTTGTACATATGCTACAGCTATCAACACCCCGAAATACAAAGAAAAGAGGGATTTATTTTCCTTCAAATAGAGTTGTGTTTGCACAATTCAGAGAATCCAAACTGCATGGGGCACCTGGGTGGCTCAGTCGGTTAGCCGTCTGACTTTGGCTCAGGTCATGATCTTGCAGTCTGTGGTGAGTGCGGGCCCCGCATCAGGCTCCGAGCTGACACTGAAAGCCTGCTTTGGATCCCCCCATCCTCCCCTATTTTAAAAACAAATAAGCATTAAAAAAAGAAAAGAATCCCAAATGCAACATCTTTTCCTAGGTAACTGTATTCATGCCCTTGACCCTTGAGGCACAATATGTTCTCACCTTGGTCCGTACTAAAAGCAACATCAAGGCAATAATCCCCAGGGACTGGTAATCCCAGTTGGCTCACACTTTGTGCTGAAAATGTCTGCCATTGCAGCTGATGTTTTATTTTTTTTTATTTTTTGATGTTTATTTATTTTTGACAGAGACACAGAGTGCAAGTGGGGAAGGGACATAGAGAGAGGGAGACACAGAATCGAAGCAGGGTCCAGGCTCTGAGCTGTCAGCACAGAGCCTGACACCGGGCTCAAACTCACAAACCATGAGATCATGACCTGAGCCCAAGTCAGCGACTTAGCTGACTGAGCCACCCAGGTACCCTTGTTTTGTTTTATTTTTTAACAATTACTAGGGTTATGAGTAGGTATCACAGTTTTCCTGTTTTCTTTCAGTTATGAAGGCAGATGAATCTAAGACAACTTAATACAATTTGAACACATCTATTTTCTACTAAATCCCCTGTTACCTCCTCTGTTTCACCTGTTCGACTCAGATCAGTCACCTGAAGGTTCCCACAAGAATCCCAGGCCTTGTTACTCACCTGCAAACAAGTATCACAGAGCTCTCTAAATATCGGCCAGTCGTTTATGTTGGCTTCTATTAAGCAGTCAACTAAACTTTGGCATTAGAGACATAAAAGTGAGCAGTTACAGCCCATGTCTTCAGAGCTCCTAGCATAATTTCAAGCCTGAGTTGACATGAACTATACTTAGGATCTGGCAGAATAGTCTTTTCCTCTAGATTTTAAACTTCTCAAGGCCAAGGACCAAGTCTTCTCTGTCCTCCAGTATTCCCAAGGGCTCAGAGATGCTCTCTCCAGTGTACAGTCCATACAAATACAGAAACTGTACATGCTAGACAATCTGGGGATTGGAACCCAGTCTCTGCAAATTAAGAGCTAGATAGGAGAGCTTTGGAAAGTATTTTAACCTCTAGTGCCAGTTTCTACATTTGCAGTAATGGGATTAGCGGCAGTATCAAGTTCACTGGGTTGTGAAAATTAAATACATAAAAAATATGGAGTACATGGTAAAAACACCATAGTTTTAGCTATTGTTTTTACTGTTTAAATAAGCTGAGAAGTTTGAGCAATGGCTCCAAACTAATACAGCTTTTGCAACATCCTCTTACAAATTTAAGAAATGCTTGCTCCTTAAAGGCGCCAACGCCTAATTATCTCTGTGCATGAACAAGGGATGTCACCTTCCCTGGGGTAAGTTCTTCAGTGTGTGGAACTGTTTCCCTACCGAAGTGCCGGGCGGGTGCCAATCCCTAATAACTTTTATTACTTTTTCCTCAATCATCATAAAGGAAGGAGAGCACAGGCTGGCCAACTTAATGAAGAAAAAAGGCTGCAGCGAAAAGCTTCACGTGAAAACGTTCTCTGAAGTCCGTGGGGGAGGAACACACCGAAGGATGGGGCACCAATGTACCAGGATCACTGGGGGTGGGGTGGGATGGGGGGGGGGGGACTGTGGGAGCAGCGGGCTTCCCAGAGGGCCGGGAAATGTGAAAGGGTGGGCTATTCCGAAAGCCCTTTAAGCCTGAAAGCCTTGGTGCTCATGACGAGCAACTAGGTGGTGCCCATACTCAGGGGCGACTTGGGAGGTTGGATTCGTGAAAGTAACAACAGAGGCTGATGGTGGAGCAGGAGAAAAGGGGCACTCGGACGCAGGTGTGTGCTGGACCCATCATGAGAACCAGGTCGGCAGGGTGATGGGTGCTCCACGTGCAAGAACCTTTAGCCTTGAATGCCGAGGGCGACCCAGTGCAGACGGCACCGCAGACACCTCGGCTGCCAGTCCGGTCTCCACGTGGGTTCCGAGGCCCCGCACTCACCGAAGTCGTAGAGGTTCCGGAGCAGGGAGTCCAGGAGCGTCTGAGAACCCGGAGGCGCGGGGGACCCCAAGCCCTGCTCCTGAGCCATCGCGAGGTCGGCCACCCCCGTACCGTGCGGGGCCCGCCGGGATGCCCTCCTCGCGGCGCCCACACTTCCGAGTTCTGACGCGCTGCGCGTGCGCGTCGAAGGTCCCGGCGCGGCTTCCGTCCTGGTTAAGATGGCGGCGCCCGGGGTCCTGAGGAGAAGCCGTAGAGGGTGCCGCCGCCCTAGGCGAGGTCGGGCCGCCCTGCGCGGAAGAACCGCCCCCAGCAGCATCACCACCACCGCTTAGCAAAGAATTTCAGGCCCTGCCCGGGACGGCAGCCGCACCATGGATTCTTCCAGTTCATCTAACGCTAGCTTCTCCGTCGGCTCCGCCAGTCACGGCGCTGTCGTGCTTCTCTACTCGGTAGGCGGCCGGGGGGAACGAGGCCCGGGGCGGGGCCGCAGGAGAGGACCCCACCCTCCCCGTCCCAGCCTCCGACGGGCCGCGACCCCTGGACCGAAAGAGTGGGTCCCGGGGCCGCCGAGGAGGGGTGAGGTGGCTGACTTGGTTTCCAAGGCAACGGTGTATCGCTGCGTGTGCAAATGTGTGCGTGCTTTTAGAAGTTTCTATGGGTGACGGTTCCTCTGGTTCCTTTCCGCTCGTTCCTTCTCTTTCCCTTTACCAGGTCACGGGGCCTTCGGGGAGCCCCTGGCCCAGGAATGAGCGTGAGAATGGGATCTCTCCATCTCTAGCGAGGGCTACCTTTTGGTTACACCAGAAAAACCTGCGGTTCCGACCTGGCCTGATAGTCAGCATGTGGCTCCCCACCCCGCCCTTTTGCTGCCGTGATGCTCCTGGGAGAAGAGTATTTGGCTTGTATGTGGGCACCGAGTTTGTAATGAGACTTAAACTTTTTTTTAAAATAGAAAGATCGGGAACTTCTGGAAAACGTGACCGCGTTTTTGCCTTCCGCCCGTACTTTTTGCAGAAGTCGTGTTGGAAGACCGCTGGTGCCACCCGGCCTCTGCAGCTTGCCTTCTAACCCCCAGCCCTGTCCCTCTCCTGATGTTAACTGACCCTTTTTGCCAACAGAATATTGGTCGCTTCCTATTTATATGAAGAATTTGTGAGGTGAACCCTTTGTAGTTCTCAGGATTGCACGGTTCTGGGGCAGCTGATTTTTTTTTTTTTTTTTTTTGTTAACCACCAAATTAATTTTTATCTACTTTACAAGGAAATAAAATAATGCATTTTAAGAGCATGTCACTGTGTCCTGGAGGTTAGTGCCAGTTTCTGATTTAAATATAATGTTAATTTGCGTACGAAGGTTATAACAGGGAAAAGAGCAAACAGCAAGATAAACAGAAAACTGTTTCAAAACAGAAGCTATATAGAGGGCTGCCTTCAAATTGGGACACCAGCATTCTTTGAAACATGAGGAAACTTCTCTTCCCTCCATGTGGAGAGCTCTGGGTTTACAATTGCTGTCAACTGTCCACTTCTGTGAGAGTTATTACTTTAACCTCTCTAGTTAGTGACCATCCCACCCCACAGCTCTGTGGTGGAACTATTTTGACCTCACTTTTTGACGTTGCTATTCCAGACCAGGCATGTAGAGAAGCAGGTCGCTGTGTGGATCCAGTTCTCAGCCCTAAACTGGCTTGTGAATTGACTGCAGTTTTGCACACGCATATTAAAGGAAAGACTTGGTTTTGTAATTCCCCATTTACCAATGGTTCTTTAATGATAGCACTTTTGTCAACTTTTTCAACATGAAAAATTAAGGCAATTGTATGTGAGCTTTTTCTACCTTGGAGGCTGGAAAGAAGCCCTTAATACTCTCGTAACTGCATAGTCTTTACTCTTACAATAACCTGAACATTTTCTTACTATTTCAGGCTGTCCTTATTTCCTCAGCCACACTGTTCTTGTGCAACACTCCAATGTGAGAGTAGTACTTAGAGCTATTTAAGATACTCCTGATTGCAGCAAACACTGCAGCACAGGTAACCTACAGCGTCCTAGTCATTATTTTCAACGTCCAGTATATGGAAGTTAAAAGCCCTTGCCTCCATGGACTTGAAAGGAAGTCATGAAAATAAACAATTAAAATTAAGTGAGATAAGGGTGATGATCGCCATCCACAGCCTGTTGTGGAAGGAATGAGAAGGGGAACCTGACCTGAGGGGGTGACATGTGAGCTGAGGTTTTGAGGTGTGAATGGGAGACGAAGGAGAGGAAGACTGGTGTAGGCATCCACGTAGAAAGCCACTCTCTTGGATGTCTGGAAGACCCTAGTAGTCAGGTAGAGGTAGAATAAAGGAGACATGGGACACAAAACTAAGGAAGTGGGCAGAAGGTATTTCTAAAGGGGTTTTATATATCATGTCTACACACTCAAGAATAAAATCTTAACTTTCTAAGGGAACCTGTAAGGATGATCGGATTTGTATTTTGGAAGTCTTAAGACTGGGTTTTTGGAGTGGTTATTTGTGTGGATAACCTTCACTTAAGTGGAGACTGTAGAAGGAGGATCTGATAGGAGAGCAACCGAACACGGTTGCAGTAAAACAGAGGCAGTGGCAGTGAGCCTGGGGAGAAGGGAGGTGGGTAAACTGTTGTGATATATAGGATAGTTGAATGCAGTGGCTGAGGAAAAGGAGGTTTCTGTGATTTGGCAACTGGGCGGATGTTGCTGATAGGAAATTTGGGCAGAGGAGCAGGTTGTGTCAGGGTAATAATTTCAGTTTGGGATGTGTTCAGTTCCAGACGCGAGTTATAGAGTTAATGACTTGTAACTCGTGCATTACTGTGTTATGGACCAGATACCCCACAGGGTGTTTGGGAGACCTCCAGATAGAGTTAGAAATATGGTACCCGAGCAAAAGAGCAGGTCTAGCTTAAATATATGGGTTTGTCGGGCATCAGCGAGTAAATTATATCTGAAGCCATAGGTCTGCCTGAAATCTTTCCATGAGACCACGGAATGAAAAGAAGACTGGGGATGGATACTTACTGCTCTACCCAGAACCCAAACTATGGCTTCCTGCTATAGTCCAAATGAAAAATCTGGACTCCTTACAATGTCCTACAAGACTACATCATTGCCACACTGATTCCCTGATTCTAGTAATCTTGCTCACTGGGCTTCAGCCACACTGGCCTTCTGTTTCTCAGACAGTAAGCATGCTCTCTCCTCAAGAGTGCTTCCAGTTCCCTCTGTGTGGTATCCTGTTTTCCCAGAAATTTGCATTGCTTTCCCTGTCCCATTTGAGGTCCCAGTTCAAATATCACCTCCCAGAGAGGCCTTACCCAACCATTCAATCTAAGATAGCTCTCCAGTCACTTCTTCTTGTTAGTTAACTGCATTTTATTTTCTTTATATTCCCTTTTCCAGTGTCGTGGTACAGCTGCCTTGTACTGACTCTCAAAGCTGAGTGTTAATTTTTCATGACATTTGTAGAGCCCATTGTTGACAGCCATTATGAAAAATTAAAGACGGGCTCTTGTAAGTTTACAGTTAAATAAATTCTGTTAAAAACAAAAGTAATAAATACCCCAAATGCAGCACTCCCTAATTATCTTACTAAATTTTACTCTTTTCTACGCTTTTGAAGTTATTTATGTCCATCAGACTGTAAGGTGGTGATCCTATGTAGTAGAGGCTACTGCCCATCTCTCCCCCACTCTCCATCCAGGGAGGTCATGCTGGCAGCTTGAAATCTGCCAGGGCTCTCCCATGGTCAAACATTCACCAGCCTGCCACTGGGGGTGTGCCTGAGTGAACTTGTTTGTCTGTCTTTCCTTAATGCAACATAAGCTCCCTTAGTATGTGTTCTTTATCTGCCTTGTTCCTGTTTTATTCCAGCCTGTAGACCAGTGCCTGGTACGTTGTGGGCTCTCCCTAACTCTCTGTGGAATGAATGGGTCCTGCAGAGCCGTTGAAAGAGAGGTACAAGGAGAAGCTTGTTTAGCTACAAATACGGAGGAGGTGCTATAAACATCAAGAGAGAAAAATAAGGGGGGCGGGGATAACCTAAACCTTACTTGGGCTCCTCTTTGGACCGTGCCCCTAGATGAGTAGCTGGATAAATATATTTATTTTATGGTGGTAAATACTTCATCATCATGTATAGGGAAGGCCAACAAATGTGTAGTCAATACTCAACCCTAGGTGCATGTAGGAGTCACTTGGAGTACTTTTAAAAATAATTCTGATGCCCATGTACCGTTCACAGACTCAATCAAGAATCTCTGGGGGGACCTGGGCAACAGTATATTTTTTAAGTGCCCAGGTTATTTTCATGCGCAGCCTGGGTTAAAAACCACTGGATTGGACATCAGGTTAGGACCAGATTGGGAGCAGTCTGAGCTCTACTCTGTGAATATTGGGGGGCCATCAGCATCAGGGCTCAGGAAGTGTCTTCATTCAGTAATTTATTTTTTATTCTACAATGATTGAATTCCTACTAGGAACCGGGAATACAAAAATGTACAAGACACATGACCTACGCAGACAAGAAGTTTACAGTCTTGCAGGGAAGATACCAATCTGGGTTTAATGAAGTATTTTAGATGCTGTCATGAAAGGCTCAGTTAAGAATCAAAGGAGAAGATGATCAGTTCAGTCTAGGATGAGGGGGAGAGTCAGGAAATGGTACACAGAGGTCAACAGGAGCTGTGGTCGATGACTAAGCGTTTTCAGGTGAACAGTGTGGAAGGGTCTCCCTCTTTCTCCGTCTCTCTCCCTCTCTATATGTGTATACTTAATTTTTAAATATTTTGTATATGTAATATAAAAGTATATTTATAAACATTATAAATTCCTGTACACACACACACACACACACACACACACAGATTGAGAGAGAGAAGATAATTTGTCTCCCTAGCTGATTCCAATCCTGTTCTCTTCCCACTCCTAGGACCACTAAGTGGGAAGTCTCTAAGTCTCCTTTAATCCCTAAAACTATGTAATTTAGATGCCAGTTTGTTACATTGTACCAGGTCTGAGTCTATACATAAACTGTATATTATTTTACTGATGAGAAATGTGAGATTTGAGAAGGTTCTTGAACCTTATAAGCAAGAGTGTGGTATGTTACAAGGACAGAGTTTTACAGCAGAATCCCAGCAGTTAGAAGATTTTTCCCTCATAGAAGGACAAATATCACATGTTTGCACGTATAGGAGGATTAGGAGGAACTTAACTGAGGACCATGGGGGAGAAGAAAGGGGAAAATGGTGGGGGAAAGGGAGAGAGGCAAACCATGAGAGACTCTTGAATTCTG